CTGCCAAGCATTAACACAGCTTACAGCTGGTGGAGCTTGCAGCATCCCACATATTAAACTGCACATCTAAATTCAGCTGAAGTTATGAGAACAACTGAATGCCGAGTGGGATAATATCAAGGTGCAAACCTGTATAAGAATCCAAAGTCCCTTGGGCAAAGAATTTAATTAGGTGCTGTATCTTTTACAGAACCAACAAAACCATTTGTATTTCTTAAAAACAGAAGTTCGGAGTTCTACCTAACCTGATCAGCACCAGAGGTGGTGGTGTCAAGTAAATCTATTACACCCCACCCAATGGGACCCAGCAGCTCTTCACTGGGAGCTGTCCCACAGCAGCTGGAGAAGCACCTGGAGCCTGTTTCTGGCTAATCACCACACTCCCAGGGAAAGCATGGCAAAGGCATGGGAATCGGGCAATCTTCCAAGCAACTAGTGACAGAACAAGCCTTAAGTTTGGAGGGCAGTCTCCAGTTGGAGAAATGTTACGAAAAATTTCTTCACGGAAGGAATGGCTAAGCATTGAAATGGAGGCAGCATCCCTGGCACTCTTGAAAAAACGAGTACAACCACGGCATGTCAGTGTGGCTTAGCAGGCATAGTCGCATTGGGTCGAAGGTTGAACTTGGAGGTCTTTCCCACGTTTATTGGCGCTGTGAAGGCCACAGAGCCTCCCGCGGGAGCGGCGGGACACGGAGCGCAGCGATTGCAGCAGCTCACGCGTCCATCGCGTGTGCTCGGGGGAAGGCAACACTTCTGCATTCCAGCCCCACGCAGCGCCGCGCCTCCCGCTCGCAGCGGGACCGGGACCGCAAAGCCCCGCCAGGCCCCGGCCGGGCGCGGTGCCCGGGGGCAGCGGGCTCCGGCCCGCACAGCTGCGGGACGCGCCGGCCGGGCGGGCAATGATTAACCACAGCCGGGCCACGAACAGCCCCAGAACAGCCCAAGCGCGCCTCAAGCGCGGCTGACGCAACCGGGACAGCCCGGGGAGCAGGCACGGCCCCAGGGCAGCCCCCGGGGAGCAGGCGCCGGTGCCCGGGCAGCCCCCGGGGAGCAGGCGCCGGCCCCAGGGCAATCCCACGGCAGCCGCCGCCCTACCCTGCAGGGAGCCAGGCAGCCCCCACCGCCCACCCACCCAGGCAGCGCCCATGGAGCCCCCGGAAGAGCGGACTGCGCACTCACCGGCGCGTCGGGCAGGAGGCGGCGCAGCTCGGTCTTGAGGCGGCGCACGGTCCAGGCGGGCTGGGCGCTGAGGCGGAGGTCGCGGTGTCGCTGCGCGGGGCTCCGCACCAGCAGCGCCAGCGGCTCCTCCATGGCGGGCGCGGGGCGAGCGGAGGTTGCAAAACCTCCCCCGTCAGAGTTTTATAGGGGCCCGCCCCGCCGCAGGGCCGCGGTGGCTGCGGCTGATTGGCGGCGATGAGGAAAGGGGCGGGGCTGCCACGTGGGCCAATGGGACGGAGCCTCGCGTGCACGCCGTGAGGAAACGGAGGCGCTGATTGGGTGGTGCCGGTGGGGGCGGAGCTATGCGGTCACCACGATGACCGTGACCCGCCCCGCCCGTCCCCGAGGGGCCGTGGCCGCGCCGGTGCCGCCGCGCTCCGTCGTTCCCTCCTCACCTCCCTCCACCGCATCACCTCCGGCACCAACACCGCTCTCAGAGACCCTTGCTTCACCTTCCCTCTCCCCTCGCCCCCTGGAGCAGCACAGCTCTGTGGAGCTCTGCACGTGCTGCATGCACAGCCTGATCCAAGTGAAACATCCCCTTTTTCCCTATGGTTATTTTACCCGATCTGTGTGAGCTACCTCAGCCGGTTTGCTGTGGGCTTTGTGTGGGTACAGGACTTTGTGGGTGGAACCAAAAGAAGTGTGCAGAGATGCTGGGGAAAATTAATAATT